GATGAAGAAATTTGCGCGGTTATGATGAGGAAGAATCAAATGATGAAGACTATAACGGCAAGTATGATTTCTCCAATGAAATCGATCGAGATTTAGAAGATGAAGACACTGTTTAATTTAAATGTTTTATATGTAGGGACACAAAAACATTTGGGAAGAACATAATTTTAAAGGAGACAACAGGTATACATCTTATCCACTTTCAGATGAACTTTTGAAAAAAAAAATTATTGTTGGAACAACAAGAGAAAATAAAAAAGAAATGCCAAAATTTTTGTATTTAAAGAATAGAGAAGTTTGTTCCTATATGTCTAGTTTTAAAAGGTACAGATTAAAAAAATTAAGATCCAGTGAAAATACCGAACTCACTCAAGGCGAATTTAAAGGAGTGTATAAACAATGTACTGAATGCCCTTATAAAAAGAACAGAAAAACTAAATTTACGTGTCAAAAATGTAATAAACATATTGCATTGCCTATTCTTTTTCCTTTTTAACTTTTGTATTCAAATTTTACGGTAAAAACAGAATTTAAACACTTTTGGGTATGAGATACCCTGCGCGAGAACTTTCGGTTGTTTTTTTCGTGCGAGTGATGCCGGGTTCTTTCCCTGCGGGAAACGAAGCTCTTCTACCATTCAACTTATTTGAGCCTCATATGGCTCATACATTCCTATACAATAAATGATTGTTACACACACACGTTTTGTATCTATCTTTAAAGTTTGTACCATGAATTCCGAACCATCCTGTATAATACAAGTGTTTCTACACATCAAAGCTATAATGTGTATGTCTAAATCCGTAAATTTATGAGATAAATATTTTTTTTTGCTTTATAGAATCATTTTTTTCTCCTTATAATAGCATTTAACGATCTTAAATATAGCCTTTTATAGCACTTCAATGTTTTCTTTTTTTCTTTCTCAAATGATACTTTTCTAAAGAAAAATGCTTGTTCCCAGACTTTACAAGAAAAATATATTCCCATTCCCTTTGAGTACAAAAGAAGTACCCCTATAAATTTTTTTAAATCTCTCCCCCTCTTCCTCTCCCTGAAAATTCCAACCCTCTAATGGGGCACATTTTTCATTCAATCAAAATTGCATTGTTTTTTTCTTTATTGTTTTTTGAAACTTACAAAATAATATCCTTCTTTTAGAAGATACATGTATCCATACAATTACATTTTTACCAATGTCTAAGATGGGATCGTATTTTTTACTTTACTTACTTTGAAAAATCTTTCGAATATTTTCTACTAAAGGGTTTTTGGTAAGTGCCTTTTCTCTGTTCGAAAAAAGAGAAAATAACATAAAAGAATGATAAAGTTTTGTCGAAATTTTTATTCTGTAATCTGTAGTACTTTTCTCAATTTGAATGCTTTTTTCAATTATAAACAATTTATTAAATTTTATTCGAGCAAAAGTTATTAATATAATTCAAAGTAGGGAAAAAATAAAAGGTTTTAACACTTAGAATTATTTATAAATATTTCTAAGCGTCTAGAAAAACATATAAAATCAAATAATTATTATTCAATAATTTATTCGTTGCAGAGAAAAAGGATTCAACTCTTATTAGAATTATTTATTAATTTTTCTATATATCTGTGAAATATACGAAATCAAGCGACTAATATTCTTTAATTTATTCAATGGAGGAAAAAAAGATTTTTATGAGACGAATATTTATAGACCTTTGTGTATATATGTAAGGATAATTAAATTAGATTAAAAATTAAATTCTCTATCTAATAATTCACTTTTATAGTACCTCCTCACATCTTCAAGTATCAAACTAATGACCCATTTTTTTTTCCGAACATATGGCCTAGCCAATAAACATGTCTAATTCCAGATCGTTATATTTAATAGCCCTATATGTCAGCATTAACTTTCAAGAACTCGCGGACGCCGCGATCGGTGTCTTAAGTTTTTAAACCCCACTTAAGATTATTCGATGGTGTTCTTTCTCTCTGCCTCTTGCGTCAGATGATGTGTAACTTTGATCAAATAAAGACCTTGTTAAAAACTAAGTCTGTTTCTGACTCTAAAATCATGTTATATATATAGAAAAGTAAGAAAAAATTAAACGACTTACATTCATTAATTTATTAAATGAAATGAAAAAAAAATGGTTATTTTTTATATTACTCTCATTAGAATCATTTATAGATCTTTCTATATGTCACGAAACGATTGATATTCAATAATTTATTCAATAAGTTAATGAATATTTGTCGAATAGTAAAAATAAAAGGTTTTGCCAACTTTTGGAATTATTTATAAATCTTTCCATACATTTAGAAAAATATGTAAAATTAAAGGACAAACATTCATTAGTATTTTCACTGCAGGGGAAAATAAAAGTCTTTACTACTCATTAGAATTATTTTTATATCTTTCTATAAATCTATAAAATTAAACGACTAAAATTCATTAATTTATTCAATACATTAATGAATATTAGTCGAAAAGGAAAAGTAAAAGGTTTTGAGAACCATTAAAATTATTTATAAAACTTTCCATATGCACTACTTGCCATTAAAATTTCTACACTAGGAAGAAATGCAGATAACAAAATATTTACTGGACAAATATATTATACTGGAAATAACAAAAGATTAACTTTTCAAGAAATTTTGGTGCATAGATCCTGAGAAATCAATGCCCAGAACAACCACCCCTGGTAGTTTAGTAATAACAGCACTTATATATATATATACACCTGGGCATTGAGTCAAACACAGATAAGATGACATGTACAGATGCCCATGCAGCTTCAACACGATGCCACAGCTCATCAACCGTAGTGACTGGTGTATGGTGACGAGTCAGTCGCTCGGCAGCCATTTACAAGACATTTTTATTGGCAAGAGATCTGGTGAACGTGCAGGTCAGGGCAACAGCTGAACATTTTCCATGTCAAGGAAGGTCCTTACAATACCGGCAACATGGGTCGTGTATTATCCTGATGAAACGTAGGGTTTCGCAGTTCTTGAATAAAGAGTAGAGCCACAGGTCGCCACAGAAATGTTACATACACTGTTCAAAGCACAGTCAATGCGAAAAAGAGGTGACCGAGACGAGTATCCAATAGCACCCCCATACCATCACGCCAGGTGATAGGCCAGTATCACAATGACGAATGCATGCTGCCAAAGTGCTATCACCACGCTGCCGCTAAACACGGATGCGACCATTTTGATGCTGTAAACAGAACATGGATTCATCAGAAAAAATGACGTCTCGCCTTCGTGCGTCCAAGCTCACCATTGATCACACCATTGAAGACGCTCATGTCTCTGATGCAGCGTAAGTTTAGCCGCAGCCATGGTCTCCGACCTGAGAGTCCATGCTGCGACAAACGTCATCGAACTGTTCGTGCAGACACTTATTGTCTTGCGAAGGACTCCAATTCTTGACTCGAGGCTCGTGACATGGCTGCACGATCCATTAAGGACATGCGGGTAATATGACTGTCTTTTCGGTTGGTAGTGATAGGGGGCCGTTGAGATCCAGCTCGGCATTCCGTTTTACCATCCTGAACCCATCCATTCCATATTCTTCTAACAGTCATGGGATTTCGACCGACGCGAGCAGCAATACTCCGTTACGATAAATCGCAATCCCGGTACGCTACAATTCAACCTTTATCAAAGTCAGAAACGTTCTGGTACTAATGTCAACTTCTTACACGAGGCATCTCAACAACTTTTCACCAGGCACTATCGTTCAAATGCAATTTGTGTATAAGAAACTGGCTGAACAATTCCCGCATTTAAAGGCATTGTAGGTGTCGCTACAGACGCCTGCTTTGTCTGAATGCGCTGAAAAGCTAATCATTTGTATATCACAGAACCTTCTTCCTGTCGTTTAAATTGTATGTCTGTAGCATGTCGCCTCCTTGGTGTAGCAATTTTAATGGTCAGTAGTGTATTTAGAAAAAGTTTATAAAATCAAACGACAAATATTCAGCAATTGATTCAATGCAGGGAAAATAAATGGTTTTGTCACTCATTACTACTCTAATTATAAATCTTTATATATAAGTAGAAAAAAATCTATAAAATCAAAGGATCAATATTCATTGATATACCTAATCAATTATTGAATACTTGTAGAATAGGAAAAAAAAGTTTTATCACATTATTATATTAACTTTCCTTTATATCTGATAAAAATTCATGAAATCAAACGCTTAGTATTCATTAATTTATTCGAATATGTTACAGCCATATGACAAAATAATTAGAAATTGTTTCGATTTTTTTTAAACTAAATATATTTAATTATTTGTTAGTGCACTGCTTAAGTATTTTCCTTTTTCTTTAATTGTTTTTTATGAGCAATTCTTTTTTATAATTCTAAATTTTATTTCTCAATAAAAGTTCGAAACGCTGCGAGTTAAAAATTTATTATATTTCTTATAATATAGTCAATATACAATGGACATAAAATAAGATGAGAACATGTTTCAGCATTTCGCTGTTAAGCTCAAAATAAAAATATCGACATGTATAAAAATTTTCAATGTATTTAAGATTCACAAAACTATTCAAAATAGCTTACATTTACGAAACCTGTCTCTGTCTGATTTCAAGAAAAAATCTATTTAATACAGCTACATCTGAAAAATGTGCGTGTATGGAATGTGCATATTCCACCATACGGAAATATATTTCAATTTTAGATGGAAGTATTAAACTATATTTCCATCTAAAATTTAAATATGTTTTACATATAATTCATACTAGTGATATACGTAGAAATTACATCTCGTTTTTTGAATTCCTACTATTAGTTCACACTCTCCCTAAATATATTTATTTTTATATATATCTTGTTCAAATTTTCAATCGTTCATAAAATACTTTTTATTCATCCACTCCAGTTTTTTCAAATATTAATTCATTAATAAAATTTAATCAATGAATAAAAAGAAACAAATATAAATAATAGTCCAACACAATATATAAAAAGTGAAATCACTCGTTGTGTCCCTGTAGCCAATGGATAGTTTTTGGACTTCTAATCCCAAGATCGTGGGTTCGAATCCCACTTGGGATGGCCTAATTTTTGAGAATGTGGTTTCTTTTTACTGCACTATTTCATTAGAATAATTAAATTTAATTAATGAATAAACAGTAACAAAAAAAAAAAAATAATGTCCAAAACCCTATATAGAAAGGAAAATGAAAAATTGCAAGGAAAATATCGCTTTCTATTTTGCCACATAATATTGTGATTCTGCCATATGTATATACATAATTATATTAATTGTAATTGTTTAACAAAAAGTAACTAAAATAAAATTTTCTTTGTTGACCTAAGTAGGAATTGATTTGAATAGGAAATGTTACATGGAAATTTCTCTTCATTCTGTACGTCATAATATGGCATAACTTTCCACAGCTAATGATTGATCGTCTCGAAGAAATACGACGGCTATTGGCGACGTATCTCGTAATTTTCAGCCGAGGTTAATTGTCGAAGATAACACATAAACTCTTCCACATCGTGCCAAAGACGATTTAATGTGCATCAAACATCCTCAACACTGTTTGTCTTTATTGGCAGCAAGACTCGAATCCACCGCTCAACGAAAACAACACCGATCGCGAACTTAAGATCATGGTTAATTGGTCATTCACTAACTATTGAACACACCAACTACGAATCAACACAATTTGAAAATCGCGTAACTCCGCATTCGGGATAGCAAAAGTCGAGGTATTACTGTACAGTAAATTATTTTGAATCTTAAAAGTTGAAATGACACAAACTTTAAACATGAAGCTTTCGTGTTTTTATTCTTTCGATTTTTAAAATTTTAAGCACATGTTTTACATTGCATCTACTGTATATCTTTCAGCAATCAAGGGAAAATAACATTAACAAGAACTTGAACCATATTGAAAGCGTAAATCCAGTAAAAGGAATCCAAAATAATTTACCATTTCATTTTCAACTGTTAAATTAATGATTATTTTGCATTGGGATTTTTTTTTCTAAAAGGATACTTATATATTAGTTATTTTAATGATATTTATTTTAACACCATTGTGTTATTTAGGATTAGATACTCTGCTTTCAAAACTGTGATTATGAAAAGAGTATAAATGAATAAATATTTTTGATGTTAAGTATCATTTGAATTAGAACATACATATAAAATTGTTTTAAGAATATTATTACAAGAAAAGTTATTTAAATGTAATTTTATGACTAAAAATAGAAAAGGATTGGCCTATTTTCAAAACATTTTCTTTTCATGAAAAATGCTTCCATAATAAAAATGTGTTTTATTATTAAGAGACTTCTCTACAGAGACTGCCTTAAAAGTCTTGAAAATTTCCATCATTTTCAGAGTTTTGATCAATTGAAGTAATAACTTGTGGCGTAACGTACACCCCCTCAACCTCCGCATTGCGGGAAGATCCATGACTCTAGGGGGCTCACAGCCCGACAAACCCAAGTACGGTTTGGGAGCCAAGACTTGACTTTGCACGGGGTCATAATATTCTTCATTATTCCATTGGTAATGACTAGTTTTTTGTTAAACATTTTGTTGAAATTTATATTAAAATATGAATAAATCCACTCTTAAAACATATCTCAAAAGTCATAGTTCTGAGTATTTGTAAGCAAAAGTTAATCAGGCTTCATTCGATTACAAAATTCACACAATTCGATTTTTTAAAAATGTTTTTCGATACTAAAAAAACAAATAAATACTTATTTGCGAGATAAGCGATTTGTAAAATAATCGTCTTAAAACAGTGCTTCTCAAACTTTCAATGTTTGCGACCCAATACGCAATTATAATTTCCATCGCGCCCCCCTCCATATATAACGATGAATTAAATTCAATACTACTGTACTTTGACGCTAAACCAAAAATACGACTTTGGCCTTTTAAGTCCAACCCCCGACGTATATAAATATCTAGCTCAGCCAAAGTGTTAAGTGCCCCTAGACGTATATATACGTCTTTCCGAAGTACTGCTATCCATAAAATTATTCCGAAAGCTTTGGAAAGCAATAAAATGACCTTGACAGTGTTTTCAAAGGATTTACTTATTTCAGAGGATTTGATTATTTGTTCCTTTTCTACCTCCCCCAAATACACCACATACGCTTACCTACGTGCTAAACGGCAGCGTTGGGAGAACGAATGACATACTTTTTAATTGGCATTTAAGGAATTAATTATAAACCGTACAAATTATCAAGAAAAGAGCTAATGTCGGCATATAATTTTATATAAAACAAATCCATGGGTAATTATTAAACTTATCCTTAACTTAGTATTGTTAAATTAATTATAAAACAGATTGTGCATTACTGATAAATTTATAAGTTTATTATGGTGTAAATGAGTATTTTATTTTTTATTATGTCAGAATGTATTTGTTTATTTACTTTCAGAAAGTTAACAATTTTTTTAAATAATCTTTTGCTTTCAACTTTTCAATATGCTTGCGCCCCCCTCGTAGGGTTATCACGCCCCCCCTAGGGGGGCGCGCCCCACAGTTTGAGAAACACTGTCTTAAAATAAATATATATTTGAGGATATAAGGAGCTAATAGAGAAATCTAAATCATTTTATGGGACACTATTGCTTAAAAGCGCGCATTTTCTGTGAAGTCTATCATGAGAAAAGGCGATTTAATTATTCAGCAAGAAAAATGCTTCTCTCTTTTATACATATTTTAACAAGATCTGTTTCATAGAATTTCCATTATTTTTTTCAAATTCTGAATTATTTATTTAGATTTTATATATATATTTTGTCTTTCCTATATTTTATTTTCACTACTAATTCGATTAGTAAAAGGGTTGAGACTTTATTTATTTTTTGCGTTATATTTTAATGCTTGCACTTTCTAATTAGGTTTTTTATGCGTTTTCTCTAATGTAGAAATAAATTTATTATATTTATTTTACACTTTTTTCCTTTTCTTTTGAATATGATAATTAGTTTTTTATGTTTACACAAATCTCAGTCATTTTTTTTGAGTTAATTAGTTTTTCCAGAATTTTTTAAAAATTATTTTAATTGAAACGTTTATCAAATGTGTTTTTTAGCAGATACTTAAGTGGATTTTAAAACTTTTTTTTTAATCGAAGACATCTAAAGTTCAACGACGGGATTTTCTTCAGCGTTCTTTGTAAAGTAGGAGCACTAGAAATTCTTATAGAGTTTACAACAGGCCTATAAATCGCAAAAACACAGTTTGAACAATTATTTTTATTTTCAAGTATGTAGCTTCGAATAATATCGATTTAGGAAAAGTGGACAATACATTTTTAACAGAATTATTTATAATATTTGTTTATCATTTAGTTCATGGAAATGATGGACAAATTTTTTAAATATGAAATTGAAATATAGGTTATAAAGTTTTTTAAAAAATAAACCATATATATATGTAATAATTCACTTTATCTTTTCTAAGCAACGTTTTAATTTGAAAAGGTGCTGTCCTTCAGGACTATTAACAAACTATTACTTAACGCAATGAAGTTTAATATGCATGTTACTTTTGTTGAATGGAAATTCGCTAAGAAAAGATTTTACGGAAATCGACTCCTATGGGGGAGATGGAATCTTATATAGTGTATTGATAAAAAAAATTCCTGTTTTCGAACTATTGAACCTACAGTAAGGAAACGTATTATGCATGTCTCTTTTTTTTTAATTGAATGGGTTTGTTCAACGGGTCTTACAGAAATAGACTCTCAAAGATGGAGCTTATTAATTAAAAAATTCCGTTTTTGATCAACTACATTTAGACTTCAAATTTGGCAAGCAAGTTTATTTTGTCGAGTACAGATCCACTAAAAATGGGTCTTATGAAAATCCATTTGGGGAGGGGGTACGATAAAGTAAAAGATAATTCTAATGAAATATTAGAAATTATTATTTGGAGTTTCTGTCCTTTTCAAATCAAGAATTATAAGAATATTTTTCAATGCAATCGAGTTTTTAATGCTAAGATATCAATAATTTATATATATATATACTTTGATTTTTAGTTTATTTTATTTGGTTTCTCCTACCGAATTGCAAAGGGGGAATGTTGACGCCTTCAAACTAGTTTAACCCCACTTATTCGGTCCTAAGTCCGAAATTGCTTTCTGACTCGCTAGGTTCTTTTTTATAGTTCCTTTTTTTGTATTTTTCTATAAATTCGATCTTCATGTTTTGCTTTTATATTTTTTACGTTACTTCTTGTTATGTTCATTATCTATTATTTCTGGTTTTTGATATACAAATTTCTTTCATATATATATATATATATATATATTCATATAACATCATGAAATACCTAACGAAGCGAGCGGGTAACGGCTAGTATATTAATATTTGATATGAATGTGCGGTTCATTTTTTAAAGATGAAATAAGTTTTTCTCAATATAGAAAATCAAATGAAGAAATTTTAGTACTTATATACACGTTATTTGTTGTTTCTACAAATGTTTTCCAATTTCAAACATATGCTTTTATTAATTAATTTTTAAATTCTCACAAAATGAGATTTTTTTTTTATAAATACTATTTTTAATATTTGAAGTATAAGTCTTTCAAATTGAATGATAGTGTAGAATATAGAGGTTTAAAATAATCTAAAATATTCCTGTGGAAAATTATTTTGAATTATTTTATATATATTCCCTATATATATTTAAAATCAAATTTAGATACCAATTTTTTTCAAAACAACTACAAAAAAAAGAAGCACTTTTTTAAAAGTTAAAAAGAATAATAGTTCAAAATATTGCTAAGAATGCAAAATAACTTACAGCATAATTTCACATCTGTAAACAAAAAAAAAAAATATATTTATTTTATTACTTTTTGAAACATTGTCCATAAATTTAACTTATTTTCTATTATAGGATAAATTCATAAGAATTTAATTGTTAGACGTTTGCTTTTAAATACATTTGTGGATTTTCTATTTTTTTCAAAATTTGATAATTATTCTTTTCTAAATAAGACGTTATTCTAAAGAAAATATTGTGCTATGTAATAATTATTTTGTTAAAAAACAATTAGAA